AGACGAGAGAGAAGAGAGACCAGAGAGACGAGAGAGAAGAGAGACCAGAGAGAAGAGAGAGCAGAGAGAGACGAGAGAGAAGAGAGACGAGAGAGAAGAGAGACCAGAGAGACGAGAGAGAAGAGAGACCAGAGAGAAGAGAGAGCAGAGAGAGACGAGAGAGAAGAGAGACGAAAGAGAAGAGAGACCAGAGAGAGACGAGAGAGGAGACCAGAGACGAGAGAGGAGACCAGAGAGAGACCAGAGAGAGACGAGAGAGAAGAGAGACGAGAGAGAAGAGAGACGAGAGAGAAGAGAGACGAGAGAGAAGAGAGAGAAGAGAGACCAGAGAGAAGAGAGAGCAGAGAGAGACGAGAGAGAAGAGAGACGAAGAGAAGAGAGACCAGAGAGAGACCAGAGAGAGACGAGAGAGGAGACCAGAGAGAAGAGAGACCAGAGAGAGAGAGACCAGAGAGAAGAGAGACCAGAGAGAAGAGAGACCAGAGAGAAGAGAGACCAGAGAGAAGAGAGACCAGAGAGCAGAGAAGAGAGAGAAGAGAGACCAGAGAGAAGAGAGACCAGAAAGAGACGAGAGAGAAGAGAGACCAGAGAGAAGAGAGACCAGAGAGAGACGAGAGAGAAGAGAGACCAGAGAGAGACGAGAGAGAGAGAGAGACCAGAGAGAGACGAGAGAGAGAGAGAGACCAGAGAGAGACCGAGAGAGAGAGACCAGAGAGAGACAGACCAGAGAGAGAGACCAGAGAGAGACCAGAGAGAGACCAGAGAGAGAGAGACCAGAGAGAGAGACCAGAGAGAGACGAGAGAGAGACGAGAGAGAGACGAGAGAGAGAGAGACCAGAGAGAGACCAGAGACAGAGACAGAGACAGAGACAGAGAGAGAGAGACAGAGACTGAGCCCAGAGAGAGAGAGAGAGACCAGAGAGAGAGACTGAGCCAGAGAGAGACTGAGCCCATAGAGAGACCAGAGAGAGTCCAGAGAGAGGGACTGAGCCCAGAGAGAGACCAGAGAGAGAGAGACTGAGCCCAGAGAGAGACCAGAGAGAGAGAGACTGAGCCCAGAGAGACCAGAGAGAGAGAGACCAGAGAGCGAGAGAGAGACCAGAGAGGGAGAGAGACCAGAGAGAGACGAGAGACCAGAGAGAGACGAGAGACCAGAGAGAGACGAGAGAGAGAGAGACCAGAGAGAGACGAGAGAGACCAGAGAGAGAGAGAGAGAGACGAGACTGAGCCCAGAGAGAGACCAGAGAGAGCGAGACCAGAGAGAGAGAGCGAGATCAGAGAGAGAGAGAGAGACCAGAGAGAGAGAGACCAGAGAGAGACGAGAGAGAAGAGAGACCAGAGAGAAGAGAGACCAGAGAGGAGACCAGAGAGAAGAGAGACCAGAGAGAGACCAGAGAGAGACGAGAGAGGAGACCAGAGAGAAGAGAGACCAGAGAGAGACGAGAGAGAAGAGAGACCAGAGAGAGACGAGAGAGAAGAGAGACCAGAGAGAGAGAGAGACCAGAGAGGAGACCAGAGAGAAGAGAGACCAGAGAGAGACGAGAGAGAAGAGAGACCAGAGAGAAGAGAGACCAGAGAGAGACCAGAGAGAAGAGAGACCAGAGAGAAGAGAGACCAGAGAGAGACGAGAGAGAAGAGAGACGAGAGACAAGAGAGACCAGAGAGAGACCAGAGAGGAGACGAGACCAGAGAGAGACGAGAGAGAAGAGAGACCAGAGAGAAGAGAGACCAGAGAGAAGAGAGACCAGAGAGAGACGAGAGAGAAGAGAGACCAGAGAGAGACGAGAGAGGAGACCAGAGAGAAGAGAGACCAGAGAGAGACGAGAGAGGAGACCAGAGAGAAGAGAGACCAGAGAGAGACGAGAGAGAGACCAGAGAGAAGAGAGACCAGAGAGAGACGAGAGAGAAGAGAGACCAGAGAGAGACCAGAGAGAGAGAGAGACCAGAGAGAGACGAGAGAGAGAGACGAGAGAGACAAGAGAGACCAGAGAGAGACCAGAGAGAGACCAGAGAGAGACCAGAGAGAGACCAGAGAGAGACCAGAGAGAGACCAGAGAGAGACCAGAGAGAGACCAGAGAGAGACCAGAGAGAGACGAGAGAGGAGACCAGAGAGACCAGAGAGAGAAGAGAGACCAGAGAGAGACGAGAGAGAAGAGAGACCAGAGAGAAGAGAGACCAGAGAGAGACCAGAGAGAGACGAGAGAGGAGACCAGAGAGACCAGAGAGAGAAGAGAGACCAGAGAGAGACGAGAGAGAAGAGAGACCAGAGAGAAGAGAGACCAGAGAGAAGAGAGACCAGAGAGAAGAGAGACCAGAGAGAGACGAGAGAGGAGACCAGAGAGAGACGAGAGAGGAGACCAGAGAGAGACGAGAGAGGAGACCAGAGAGAAGAGAGACCAGAGAGAAGAGAGACCAGAGAGAAGAGAGACCAGAGAGACCAGAGAGAAGAGAGACCAGAGAGAAGAGAGACCAGAGAGAGACCAGAGAGACCAGAGAGAAGAGAGACCAGAGAGAAGAGAGACCAGAGAGAAGAGAGACCAGAGAGAGACGAGAGAGAAGAGAGACGAGAGAGACAAGAGAGACCAGAGAGAGACGAGAGACGAGAGAGAAGAGAGACCAGAGAGAAGAGAGACCAGAGAGACCAGAGAGAAGAGAGACCAGAGAGAGACCAGAGAGAAGAGAGACCAGAGAGAGACGAGAGAGGAGACCAGAGAGAGACGAGAGAGGAGACCAGAGAGAAGAGAGACCAGAGAGAGACGAGAGAGAAGAGAGACCAGAGAGAGACCAGAGAGAGACCAGAGACGAGAGAGGAGACCAGAGAGACCAGAGAGAAGAGAGACCAGAGAGAGACGAGAGAGAAGAGAGACCAGAGAGAAGAGAGACCAGAGAGAAGAGAGACCAGAGAGAGACGAGAGAGGAGACCAGAGAGAAGAGAGACCAGAGAGAAGAGAGACCAGAGAGACCAGAGAGAAGAGAGACCAGAGAGAGACGAGAGAGAAGAGAGACGAGAGAGACAAGAGAGACCAGAGAGAGACGAGAGAGACGAGAGAGAAGAGAGACCAGAGAGAAGAGAGACCAGAGAGACCAGAGAGAAGAGAGACCAGAGAGAGACCAGAGAGAAGAGAGACCAGAGAGAGACGAGAGAGGAGACCAGAGAGAAGAGAGACCAGAGAGAGACGAGAGAGAAGAGAGACCAGAGAGAGACCAGAGAGAGACCAGAGACGAGAGAGGAGACCAGAGAGACCAGAGAGAGACGAGAGAGAAGAGAGACCAGAGAGAAGAGAGACCAGAGAGAAGAGAGACCAGAGAGAGACGAGAGAGGAGACCAGAGAGAAGAGAGACCAGAGAGAGACGAGAGAGAAGAGAGACCAGAGAGAAGAGAGACCAGAGAGACCAGAGAGAAGAGAGACCAGAGAGACCAGAGAGAAGAGAGACCAGAGAGAGACCAGAGAGAAGAGAGACCAGAGAGAAGAGAGACCAGAGAGAGACCAGAGAGAAGAGAGACCAGAGAGAAGAGAGACCAGAGAGAGACGAGAGAGAAGAGAGACGAGAGAGAAGAGACAAGAGAGACAAGAGAGACCAGAGAGAGACCAGAGAGAGACCAGAGAGAAGAGAGACCAGAGAGACCAGAGAGGAGACCAGAGAGAGACGAGAGAGAGGAGAGACGAGAGAGAAGAGAGACCAGAGAGAAGAGAGACCAGAGAGAGACGAGAGAGAAGAGAGACCAGAGAGAAGAGAGACCAGAGAGAGACGAGAGAGAAGAGAGACAAGAGAGACAAGAGAGACCAGAGAGAAGAGAGACCAGAGAGAGACGAGAGAGGAGACAAGAGAGACCAGAGAGAGACGAGAGAGAAGAGAGACCAGAGAGAGACGAGAGAGGAGACCAGAGAGACCAGAGAGACCAGAGAGAGACGAGAGAGAAGAGAGACCAGAGAGGAGACCAGAGAGAGAAGAGAGACCAGAGAGAAGAGAGACCAGAGAGGAGACGAGAGAGAAGACGAAAGACAAGAGAGACCAGAGAGAGACCAGAGAGAGACGAGAGAGAAGAGAGACCAGAGAGAAGAGAGACCAGAGAGGAGACCAGAGAGGAGAGAAGAGAGACCAGAGAGAAGAGAGACCAGAGAGAGAAGAGAGACAAGAGAGACAAGAGAGACAAGAGAGACCAGAGAGACCAGAGAGACCAGAGAGAGACCAGAGAGAGACCAGAGAGAAGAGAGACCAGAGAGACCAGAGAGAGACCAGAGAGAGACGAGAGAGAAGAGAGACCAGAGAGAGACCAGAGAGAGACCAGAGAGAAGAGAGACAAGAGAGACCAGAGAGAGACCAGAGAGAGACAGAGAGAGACCAGAGAGAGACAAAGAGAGAGAGACAAAGAGAGAGAGACAGAGAGAGAGAGACAGAGAGAGAGAGACAGAGAGAGAGAGACAGAGAGAGAGAGACACAGAGACACAGGGACAGAGACAGAGACAGAGAGAGAGAGAGACTGAGCCCAGAGAGAGAGAGAGAGACCAGAGAGAGAGAGAGAGACCAGAGAGAGAGACTGAGCCCAGAGAGAGACCAGAGAGACCAGAGAGAGAGAGACCAGAGAGCGAGACCAGAGAGCGAGACCAGAGAGCGAGACCAGAGAGCGAGACCAGAGAGCGAGACCAGAGAGAGAGAGCGAGACCAGAGAGAGAGAGAGAGAGAGAGAGCGAGAGACCAGAGAGAGAGAGAGAGAGAGAGAGCGAGAGACCAGAGAGAGAGAGAGAGAGAGAGCGAGAGACCAGAGAGAGAGACCAGAGAGAGTGAGAGAGAGAGACCAGAGAGAGAGAAACAGAGAGACGAGAGAGAGAGAAACAGAGAGACAGAGAGAGAGAAACAGAGAGAGAGAGACCAGAGAGAGAGAGACCGAGAGACCGAGAGAGAGAGAGAGAGAGAGCCCAGAGAGAGAGAGAGACTAAGCCCAGAGAGACCACAGAAAAAAGGCGTTACTAAAATATAGAAAAAATAAAAGTAAAGATCAAAGCAAGAAACAAAGACAAACCTTTTCTAAACTGTTGATGACGGCGAGCTGCGCCGGCTTCTTTAGGGCTCGAAATTTCAGTGCAGTTTCTGAAAAAAAAAAAACACAACACAATCTGAATAATATAACCCTGAAGAACGCAGACACAGTTAGTGCAGTAGTAAGAATATCATTTACTAGTTAGTATAGTAAAATAACTACTATAACTGAAACTGTAAAGATACAACCTAAAAACTATTAAACAAGAAACATAATAGACATAAATGAAACAAAAAATTGGGCGACAGTGGCTCAGTTGGCAGCGCATTGGCCTTTAAGCCTGAAGGTTGTGGGTTCAAGGCCACCATGAGACCGTCTCCCACTGATGTCTGCTGTCGTTGTGTCCTTGGGCAAGACATTTAACCCACTTTGCCTAAAAGGAGCGCAGAAGTGATGTTCGCTGCTTGCCTTGATGTGTATATATGTATATGTGTATGTATATGTGTATGTGTATGTGTATATGTACAGTATGTGTGTGTGTATGTGTGTAAATATGTGTATGCTTATGTGTATATGTGTACGTGTATCTGTGTACGTGTACGTGTATCTGTGTACGTGTACGTGAATATGTGTACGTGTACGTGTATATGTGTACGTGTACGTGTATATGTGTACGTGTATATGTGTACGTGCATATGTGTACGTGTATACGTGTACGTGTATACGTGTACGTGTATACGTGTATACGTGTACGTGTATGTGTGTATATTTGTACGTGTATATGTGTTCGTGTATATGTGTACGTGTATATGTGTACGTGTATATGTGTACATGTATGTATGTATGTATGTATGTATGTATGTATGTATGTGTGTATGTGTGTATGTGTATGTATGTGTATGTGTGTGTGTATGTGAATGTATGTATGTGTGTATGTATGTGTATGTGTGTATGTGTGTGTATGTGTGTATGTGTGTGTATGTATGTATGTGTGTATGTATATGTGTGTATGTATGTGTGTGTATGTATGTGTATGTGTGTGTGTATGTATGTGTATGTACAGTATGTGTATGTACAGTATGTGTATGTGTATGTACAGTATGTATATGTGTGTATGTATGTGTGTGTATGTATGTGTATGTGTGTGTGTATGTATGTGTATGTACAGTATGTGTATGTACAGTATGTGTATGTGTATGTACAGTATGTATATGTGTGTATGTATGTGTATGCATCAAACTGAAATTTCCCCACTGTGGGACGAATAAAGGACCTTCTTAAAATATTTGTCAAAAGAGATCTTTGTCAATGACCAGATTTAGCGATGTAGCATATTAGCTTCTTGGGTACATACATTAGTAAATGCATTAAACCAAAAAGTCATTCTTTATGATGCATATTTGTAGCTGAGGGTTAGGGTTAAATGGAGGAGACTCACCCTGAAGCAGCCTCTTGAGTTTGGAGCAGTCCACGTTAATGTACTGCATCAGCTCGATGTCGTGGACGTCCACATTGTCCTCAGAGCACACGGTCAGCTCCTGCAGCCTGCGGACCAGAGGACAATACACTCAGAACACTGCAGCTCGAGAACAGACTAGAACCAGGAAGTACCATCACATTGCATTGTAAATTTCTTCTGTGCGAGATCAATAAAGTCCATCTTATCTTATTAGTCTTGAACTCAGGCGTGGATCTATAATAAGTAAGTAATCTTTATTTATATAGCGCCTTTCACAGACCAGAGTCACAAAGCAGTTTACAATTGTTAGTATTTTTATCAGGACCTTCTTGCTGAGAGGCGAGAGTGCTATGCACTCAGCCACCGTGCCGTTATAATAATAACTGGATCCCACCCATGGGCACAGGTGGGCTACCCAGAAATGTTCCCCATAGAACTCAATGTAAAGTAAAACAGCTGCACCTCAGCTGACAGAGAACCTGACTGAGAACGTGACTGAGAACGTGACTGAGAACGTGACTGAGAACGTGACTGAGAACGTGACAGAGAACGTGACTGAGAACGTGACAGAGAAACTGACAGAGAACCTACAGCTTTCAGAAATATCAGATTTTGTGGGGGTTTTAGTATTCCTTGTCATCCTGAACTTTTTTTCTTCTTAAATCCTTCGGTTTTCTTTAAATCCACTGCCACAAACTCAGCTCCTTTCCTTCCAGCTCTGACTCCGCTCTGCTGCTGCTCTGATTGGTCAGAGCGCGGCCGAGCCCCTCTGTGCGCGTGCATTAGAGCCACACATGCGTATTTGACGCAAAGCATCATGGGAGCTCGTCCACTGCGCAGAACTGGGAGGACCAGACGATGCCCAAATATAGGCGAGTTCTGCTAATCTCCCGGTCTCCATGAAGTCCCATGATCTACTGAGTTACGAGTTGGTGCTACGGCTAAGCTAACAAAATCCCTTACTGCACCTTTAAGACAATATTACTTGTTATTAATATTTTTCTTTCTTCCAATAGAATCCATTTATTCTTGTTTTTGGAGTCATTCTTTGCAGTGAACTGGCTTAAAGAAAGAGGGAGGGAAGTGCTAAGTAATAGCCCTTTTCCACAGTAACGGTACGCTACGGCGCGGTTATTTTGCATTTCCACTGGTGTATGGTAACTGAGTTTTGCGTACTTTTTTGTATCACTTCGACTGTGGTTCCATCTTCGTAGTACCGATACCATGACGTCGGCCGAGTGCCTTACACTGATTGGTCCACGAGTCTCGTCACTGGAAGCGACATCTGACCCTTAGGTAAAAACAACTCAACCGCCATCTTTAAAACTGCTCGTATAGCGCATTTTACAGACCAAGGTCACCCAAAGCTCTTTACAGTGCTCAGAGTTCAGATATGTATCTCCACATGGTGATGGTGGAAGCAAGACACCAAACACACTGGACCATCAAAGCCTCCGACCAAACACCACTCACTCAAAAACTCTAGCTCCATAACCCTTCATGTCACTGTCTCCTCCCTGAGCGAGCGTCCTGATTGGCTGGAGGGTGGTACCTGGTGGAGATGCGGCTGAAGACGGCGTTGAAGTTGTTGCAGCTCAGAGAGAAGAGCACAGCGGAGGCCGAGGCGCGCAGCTCGGCCGCGTGCTGCTGTCCGTCTCTGAACGTGTAGATGAAGTGACAGATCTCCGGCAGCAGCTGCTTCACCAACATAGTCTCGTCCAGTCCTCGGCTGTCCTTCGATTGCTGCGCACAAGTCACACTTTCTATCAGCTTTATCCATCGCTACAGAGTTCACATGCATCTTACACACAGAAATACTTAAGACAAACTTATAGAACAGACGGACAGAATTTTAGTGAATGAAATATATTTAGGGAATATAAAATAATACAATGTTTCAGTCCATATATGATATCTATTTTAACACAAATAAAAAGAGCTAAACGTTTTTGTGTTCCCATTTTGTATTTTTCCTGCATCTATTGGATCTCATTATTTTGACTTTGTTTAATGACTTTTATTGTTTATTATACCGAGTGTGCAGCGCTTTGTCAACATTGTTTTTTAAAAAGAGCTTCACAAATAATTATTATTATATTATTATTTTTATTATTATTATTATATTATTATTTTTATTAGTAGTATTATATTATTATTTTTTATTATTATTATATTATTCTAATTTTTATTATTATTCTAATTATTATAAAAGATTAAGATTGAGATTTATAGATTGTTTATTTGTCTCACAGTGGGGAAATGTCAAGAACAGTGGGAAAGAGTAGATAAGTGTAGTGATTTTATGACACTTTTAAGCAACTATTGTTAAAGTTCTAACTTCATTCTTACATATGCAGAAGCCTGTACTTTTCCACTTGATGTTTTGATTTCTGAAGGCCAAGCTACATCACACTGTGGCAGCTGCTGATTGGAGGTCTGTTTCTCCTGAATATATTATCACTTGCTGTCTTTAACATTGGTTGTTCGTGCTGTCTCTACCATCAACAATAAAACATGTCTTCTGTCTGAATGAAAGACACGACCCCAGACTTTGGCAGATTCCTAACATAAGTGAACAGGTTACATGAACAATAGCTACACTAATTAAAATAGAACAAAATGTCTGACTCTAGCATCAATAACAAGTATAAAATCTCTATCTTAATAATAAAATAAATATTGAAAAGAAGTAGAAAAGTTCTACATCTGGCATAATAAGAGGCAAGAATAAAGTAGTGTGTTCAGATGTTAGAAGCTCAATCTGATCTGCAATAGTTTGACAAGACAGAATCATAATCATTTGACCTGAACCCAGACTCTCTGCCACCAACACTTCCCATTCAGCACATTCAGCTCCTGAGCCGCTCTTCTACAGAACGTGCAACTACAGCTACGTTTTAAAACGTCATTTACCAATCTACTCAAAATCTAGTCATGCCAGAAAACAAGCACGAATACTTAAATAAACTTTGCCATGTGAACTTTGTAAGCATACACAAATACCTGTCTCAATAAAAAATCTCGGGAAAAGACTGAATTTGATGAATAAACCAAACAGCACAGTCTTTATCATAAAACAAATAACTTATTTGGGACTTAATATTAGGCATTTCATATTGACTAAAAACTAAAATTACAACCAAAAACCGCTGGACTCCTGGATGTGATTGTATTTTAGCACAATTATTTTGTGCTCCTCATTCCTTCTGTTCTGTAACTGCTGATGCAACACTGACATTTAAACTGACTCTTAAAGCTGCACTAACTGACTTTGGGATTTTGAAGCCGCGGACTCGCTGGCCTCTCTTTCTGCTCCCCTCCCCGCACCCACGAAGCTATCGCCCCCCACACACACCCACTGTTGGGACGGAGCTAGTCTCTCTCAATATGGATAATACATGGATATGGATTTACACGTGGATGGCGTGAACGGGACTTTCTTTTGGCTGTCTCGCTGTGTAAGCAGTAACCGGTGACGAAGACGAGGAAGCTTCAGGTTAGCTCCGCCGCTTGTTGTGCTAACTCAGCTGTCTGTGCTAACGGACCTGTAGATTTCTCACGAAAGTGGGGGCCAGTGGTGCGCTGTGATTGGTCACAATCTGCGACCCGAAACACATTCTCTTCCTTGTTTCATCAAAACTCGATCTAAAATATAATCCACTCCAGCACAAATCTGTGCTACTTATTCTTCAAAAGGACGTATATCCCAATGCACTACATGGATATGGATAGAATTTTCGTAATGAATACAAAAATAAAGTCAGTTAGTTCAGCTTTAATCATTAGAGCATGTTTATGGTTTGAAAGTCAGGTAGAGCAGCTTTAACCAACAGTGTGGGGATGAAGACGTGGACTGGGCTCTCTCTGAAGACAGATGGAGGCTCAGGTGACCTCCCACCACTGAGGAAACGTCTGCAAATGTAATCCTGAGTAACTGTAACAAGTGTTTTAACAGAGCGGCCAAGAAACTCACTCAGAACTGCACATGCGGCTAATGGGAAGATTTAAGAACCACGGTCTGGTTCTCAACTGGGGGGGCCAGGACAGAAAAGAGGGCAGTGGTTCTTTGTGGATGCAGGAGGGAAACAGAAACTCACCCCGGCCAGGCACTTGTCCAGCGTGTCCAGGATGATGAGCTGCGAGAGGTAGAGGTTCTTCTCGGACGCTTCCCCAAATATTCGCTGAAAGAAAAAAAGACAGTGTGAGATCATGAGGTTTCTACGGCGGTTTCTCTCCCGCTAGGCTAGGCTGCGGTCTCTCTCTCCCCCTAGGCTAGGCTGCGGTCTCTCTCCCCCCCTAGGCTAGGCCGCGGTCTCTTTGTCCCCCTAGGCTAGGCTGCGGTCTCTCTCTCCCCCTAGGCTAGGCTGCGGTCTCTCTCCCCCTAGGCTAGGCTGCGGTCTCTCTCTCCCCCTAGGCTAGGCTGCGGTCTCTCTCTCCCCCTAGGCTAGGCTGCGGTCTCTCTCTCCCCCTAGGCTAGGCTGCGGTCTCTCTCTCCCCCTAGGCTAGGCTGCGGTCTCTCTCTCCCCCTAGGCTAGGCTGCGGTCTCTCTCTCCCCCTAGGCTAGGCTGCGGTCTCTCTCTCCCCCTAGGCTAGGCTGCGGTCTCTCTCCCCCCTAGGCTAGGCTGCGGTCTCTCTCCCCTAGGCTAGGCTGCGGTCTCTCTCTCCCCCCCTAGGCTAGGCTGCGGTCTCTCTCCCCCTAGGCTAGGCTGCGGTCTCTCTCTCCCCCTAGGCTAGGCTGCGGTCTCTCTCTCCCCCTAGGCTAGGCTGCGGTCTCTCTCTCCCCTAGGCTAGGCTGCGGTCTCTCTCTCCCCCCAGGCTAGGCTGCGGTCTCTCTCTCCCCCTAGGCTAGGCTGCGGTCTCTCTCCCCCCCTAGGCTAGGCTGCGGTCTCTCTCCCCCTAGGCTAGGCCGCGGTCTCTTTGTCCCCCTAGGCCAGGAAAGGCCGCGGTCTCCTTCTCCCGATGGGCCAGGCTAGTCCGCGGCGGCCTCCCCCTCTAGTCCGCGGCCTCCCCCTCTGGTCTGCGGTCTCCATGGTTACCATGTTGTTGACATTCTTGAGGATGTTGGTCAGGCCGCTGATGACCAGGGAGAACTTGTACTTGGAGATGTTGATCAGACACTCCTTGTTGTGCTCCGTGCTGACTTTCGTGTGCGTGTTCTGATGTCCCACTTTGATCGGAAGCTGCACAACACACACAAAGAAACATTATTACTCTATTGCGAACATATCAAGTTTATTTATGTTTCTACATCGTTACAGAACAGTCACTTTGCAGCAGAAAGACGGTGGAAGCTAAAGCTAATGCTAATCGTACCGACGCGCTTCTCTACTGCCATTAGCACAAGTCGGGGGTCTCCAAACTAAAGCTCACAATCCAAGGAAATATAAGAAATACAAAAATAAAATAGATAGTTTTATGGATGCAACACTTGATAGAAAGATAAAAATTACCCAAATTACTTTAACAACAGTTTGAAGATTTGGCAACGAAGCAATAAATCAATTTTCTATATCTGTACTTGAACGAAGACTAAAGATGGTTGCTCCATTGATTTAAAGAAATGTTTTCAAATCTGAAAGAAGTATCTCTCCCAGGAAAAGGTCAGAGACCCCTGGTGTAACATGGACATTAGCATTTACAGAAGCAGCAGCATAAACAAAATGATAAATGTATTCTTAAAGCAGAGTTTGGTGAGAGCAGAGTTTGGTGAGTGAGGTGAAGTGAGAGGTTCTTATGGAAAACTGTGAAGGAGTCCTGTCACTGCGTCACATGAGCCAAACAACAGCCGTGTGTATGTCAGCATCAGGCTCTCAGACTGTCACTGGGGCCTTTGTCTCTGCTCCTGCTGCTGCTCCACCACCACCGCTGCTACTACTACAACAATGAACGTCCTGGGACAACTAGCCTTAACGGGTCTCTCTCCCACGGGTCTCTCTCCCACGGGTCTTTCTCCCTCGGGTTCCTCTCTCTCCCTCTCCCTCGGGTTCCTCTCTCTCCCTCCCCCCCAGCAGCATCTGCATTTTTCAACATCACATTTCCCTCTTACTGCGCCTGTCTAATGAACTTAGTAGAACAATAATCAGGAAGTGGCTTTGGTTTCTAATGCTGCTTTCTTGTAACAGTAGTAATCGGCTCAGGGCACTAAACCATGTGAAATCCCGCTTAAACTCCACACACACACACACACTACGCCGTAATGACTTTGAAATGACAAATGTTCAAATCCACTGGAATCTGTCCAAACGTTAGCAACGATATCTGGGCGTTTAGAACCAATACTTCATTTTCTGCGGCTTTTTAACTACTACTGGCTTTTTGTTCTACTGGACAGTTTTGACCTGTAGACCGGGGGGTGTCCGACTGGCTCCAGAGAGGACCGGTGTGTCTGCGGCTTTTTATTCCAACCAAGCAGGGGGCACACAAGACTCCACCCATTTGCTCAGGGATTTCGGGTCAAGACTGGACTCACGTGGACTCAGCCTGGTGTTCCTGCTTGGTTGGAATGAAAACCCGCGGACACACCGGCCATTTTGGGACTGGTTTAACAAAAATTAAAATTGGATTAGGGACCAACCAATCTTGAGGGGAAAAATAGATAAAAATCACAACAAAATTCCACCGTATCGCATTCAGCCACCATCTAATTTGGTCAAACTTTACAAAATTGAATTATCAATTTAAAGCTCAGACCCTAAATATTTATTATTAACAACTGTAAAAATCTGCAGCAGCCACAGAGATCTAATAGTTCCATGTCATACATAGATATAGGGAGGAAGGGTAGCTGAGTGGTTATCCCTAGTGCTTCTCCTGGGATCCAGTTGGAACAGGGTCTTTCAATCCAATTTATTTTTGAATAGTTCCAGATCAGGGCTCTCCAACCTGTGGCTCGGGAGCTACCAGTAGCTCGCCAGCCCCTTTCAGGTAGCTCCCCAAAGGATTTAGAATTTAACAAATGATCTTGAATGAATACTTTGAGTAATTACAAGTCTATCATAAGTATAAATATAGGTTTTCACAGTATTATGGTATATTTATATGTTCATATGTTTTGCCATATATAGATTTTTTATTATGACTGCAGAAGGAAGCTCTCTGCGTCTTTTGGTGCATAAAAGTAGCTCTCGGATTGAAAAAGGTTGGAGACGCCTGTCCATAATCACAACCACAGTCTTCTCTGAGGTCTTGACAAAGTTTTCGATTTGGCAACACCAGATCAGAGAATGGAAGAGTAACAATAGTAGATATCAATAATAACAAACACATAGAAGTCGTTGGTCCAGAGCGAGCAAACAGTCGATAAATGTGAATAAATGTCATTTTGGGAGTGGAGTTTGCACGTTCTCCCTGTGCTTGCTGTGTTTAACCCTACCATTAAAAACACGTACAGTGGTTCCCATCTCTCTCGGGCCAGACATTGGTGGTTGGGAATTGACAACTCCGAAGTTCTTTGAGATGACTGCTGTTGATTTATGGCTTTACGGTTAAGTTAATATAATTTTTTGTGGGTTTATAAGTAACAAGTTTTTCTCAATTCATTCAAAAATATAGGGCTTGAGATAAATGTAATCAAATGGACGCCGCTGAAAAATACATTCTGAAATCTCAGTGGGACCTGGTTGAATAGCGGTAATGGTTCAGTTCAGTTCAGTTGTTTACATATATACAGCAGAGACATTACACATTCACTCATTCGTAAAAAGGAGACTGGAGCAGCAGGCTCGATACTAACGCCTCAAACACAGCAACAACAACATGTATAAAGTTAGTCAAGAGCAAGGAACAGGACGTTTTTGTTAGAATCAAAATAATTATTGGCCACAGACACAAATTTCATACAAAGCTGAAGCGAAATGTTGTAATTAGTGTCTGGAAATTACAATAAATGACAATAAAAAACTCACAAATATGACTTTTAATAATCAAAATTGAGAAAAGGTCAAACGTAAACACAAGTTTCCCTTTTCTTTAGAGCCGTGTATGATAGTCCAAAGATAAAAGAACCTCTATACAAGGGCTGGGCGATTAATCGATTTTAATCATTAATTCGAGTTTTACGTTTAGGGCGATTTCTTTTTTTAAAAATTCGATTTTTATTTTCTCCAGCGCAGAACTACATGCGCTAACGCGCTAACCGCGGGTCTATGGTGTTGAGCAGTCATTTTGAAGCTAACCTAATGCTAACGGGTGCGTACCGATGTTCCCCGGGTCCGATGTTCCCCGGGTCCGATGTTCCCCCACTTCTATAGGCGGGGGAACATCGGACCCGGGGAACATCGGTACTTCGCGTATTAAAAAGTCCCGATGTTCCCCGGGTCCGATGTTCCCCCGCCAATAGAAGTGGGGGAACATCGGGACTTCAACAACAAGACTAGTGCCGCTGTTCCCCGCGTGCGCCCTTTGATGTTTGATGTTTCCTCCTCCACGAAAGATGGCATATGATCCGCGCCAACTTTTGTGAGAGAAAAAATACTAACTAGCCTAAGCCTATTTACTTTTCTTTTTCCCTCTCGCTCTTTGTGTGCTCATATTTCAGCTGATTGCAGCTTGAGTCTATGCAGGATATTTTTGGGCATGTTATGGGCATGTTATCTCCCCTTGCTCACTCTCCCATGGGCATCTATATTTGACAAGTCTGACTGAATAAAATGAGGACGATTGAAACTAGAGCTACTACATCTGTTAGCCTATAGTTTTTCCAAATACGTGGTTTTGCTGAGGGCACTGTGCTTTTACGCATAATGGACACGCATATGACGTCGTTTTTGTTGTAAAACTTGAATATGCTCTTTTAGTTTTAGAGATATTAATACATATTATTCTATTCAGAATGCGTGCGTCATTGTGCATTGTTGTCCCGCCTTACGTGTCACTCACAGTTAAAATGTAAATAACCAATTCAAACATAGCATTTTTACAACTTGAACTTTAAGAAAAAAATGATCAAAGGAATCAGTGTAAAATAAGATCGGAAAAGCTCAATTCATGATTGTTTAATTAGGTTTCCCATTTTTAAATACAATTGGAAACGCTCAGAATTCAAAAATATTGAAAAGTGTATTGGCTCCTACAGTGGGGGGAATAATAATAATAATTATAATAATAATATAACCCCCTGAGCGTCATCACGTTCCTACGTTGCTTCAAATATAGTCCTGTTTATTGGCTGAACAATTTTGTCCAATATCATATCACACAGCGTGAAGCGAGAACAACCAGCTATTCCTCGTCTTAAAGATTGACAACGCTCTCAAAGCATTCACAACAGAGCAGCCTTTTTCATTTTAATTTTAAGAAAGTTCAGCGTGAACTTTGTGAGGTAGAGGAGCCAGAGGCCCGGGCCCGTAGGTCCCAGAGGAGGAGGGTCAGGCCAGGCTCGCCTCGCACTGATGAGGTAAACTCTAGGCCTGTGTGAGACACACTGTGGGCCTCACTGTAGGCCTCACTGTGGGCCTCACTGTGGGCCTCACTGTGGGCCTCACTGTGGGCCTCACTGTGGGCCTCACTGTGGGCCTCACTGTGGGCCTCACTGTGGGCCTCACTGTGGGCCTCACTGTGGGCCTCATGTATGAAACCTGCGTACGGCCAAATCAGGGTAAATGAGGCGTACGCAAAATATTACACTTTTCCGCATTTATCTATCTGGACGTGAGCGTACAATACGCAAAAAATATACGCCAGGTCTGGAGGTGGTGTAAATCTATACGCTGAACTCAACCTTCGGCACAACACGCATGAAATTCAAGATATGTACAACAATAAACATATTCCCTCTGGCAAAATTATATGCTGTGTTTTCATTGAGGATCATGTTTCAAAATTTGAATTTGCGCATCAGAAAAAGTCTAATGGAAACACGCAAACTTCGAATAAATCACAGCTCATGATGAGGACCCTCTATTAAATCTGACTTGTGTGTGTATTATTTTGATCTGTATGTTTTTAAAATGTGAAGCGCTTTGTGATCCTGGACAGTGAAAGGCTCTATATAAATACACTTTACGCAACAGGGATGTGTGACCCATCTATTGCTGTGGCAGGCTCTGCGCTGCGTAATTACGCACGGCTATTTGTATTCCTCATTCACATCTGGTAAAGCAATGTGTTATTTCATTAGATTTGTGTAACCCTCACACAGACACACACCCCAATAACGCATCGATGGTATTGCTCACTCAAATGTCTCACTGCCCTGTCCAGAGTGCGCAGCGAGTAACGTGAGAGGTCGCGCCACATGTGCAGATGTTTTGGCTCCAGAGTTTCTTTGTGAAATCTGGACCGCAAGCGCTCTCTCTGAAGTGTACAGCGCCTCAATGCGCACTTCTACCCCGAGCCAGGCTGCGTCCAAGACGCTGCAGACGCTTCATTCATGAGAGCCACCGCTGCATAATATATATGAATTAATTAATTCATTCAATCAATCTATATTTATTCACTTCTACAATTCAATAAGGATTTTTCTAATGTATCAAAAAATTTTGGCAAATTGCGTAAATGGAATATACACCCAAAATGTACACCTTTTTCAACGAAAGTTTCATAAATGAGCTTGTGTGTATGTGCGCGCGTGAGTGCGTGTGCGTGCGTGTGTGCGTTTGAACCATATTCTTTGAAACCCCAATTCCAGTTAGCCCTTGTAGTTTGCAAGCGAATTTGGCCTACTTACTAATCTGCAGGCCTACCCAAAATAGACTAGTTATGAGCGAGGCCCGCAGTCGGGGAACACCGGGCCCTCCGGCGTTTGGAAGGTCCGGTGTTCCCCGCCCCGGGGAACTCCGGACCCGGGGAACACCGGACCCGGGGAACATCGGACCCGGGGAACATCGGGCCGACCCCAATGCTAACAGTCTCCCTCTGGCCTGATGCTCGCTCTCACAGTTGGTGCTGTTGCAATAACACTTCCAGACTTTATTTAATCGCCAAAACACACACACACACGCAGGCTCCGGTCGCTATGTTCGTACGCCACATCTTTCACGCGCTCTCACGCTCGTTATTCCAAAGCGCACTCCCGTGTCCGTGGCGCGCACACACTCGTGTCCCACTGAGCCGCTGCACTTTGGGGAAAGACACGTCTCACACATTGCTCTCATTGCTCTGATACAAACAACGTGTTCCCCGCTGTCTGTTAGCTACAGTAGCTGCTACAGTAGCTGTTAGCTACAGTAGCTGCTACAGTAGCTGTTAGCTACAGTAGCTGTTACAGTAGCTGTTAGCTACAGTAGATGCTACAGTAGCTGTTAGCTACAGTAGCTGCTACAGTAGCTGTTAGCTACAGTAGCTGCTAGCTACAGTAGCTGTTAGCTACAGTAGCTGCTACAGTAGCTGTTAGCTACAGTAGCTGCTAGCTACAGTAGCTGCTACAGTAGCTGCTACAGTAGCTGTTAGCTACAGTAGCTGCTAGCTACAGTAGCTGCTACAGTAGCTGCTACAGTAGCTGTTAGCTACAGTAGCTGCTAGCTACAGTAGCTGCTACAGTAGCTGTTAGCTACAGTAGCTGCTACAGTAGCTGTTAGCTACAGTAGCTGCTAGCTACAGTAGCTGCTACAGTAGCTGCTACAGTAGCTGTTAGCTACAGTAGCTGCTAGCTACAGTAGCTGCTACAGTAGCTGCTACAGTAGCTGTTAGCTACAGTAGCTGCTAGCTACAGTAGCTGCTACAGTAGCTGTTAGCTACAGTAGCTGCTACAGTAGCTGTTAGCTACAGTAGCTGCTACAGTAGCTGTTAGCTACAGTAGCTGCTACAGTAGCTGTTAGCTACTGTAGCTGCTACAGTAGCTGCTAGCTACAGTAGCTGCTAGCTACAGTAGCTGCTACAGTAGCTGCTAGCTACAGCATCAGAATGTAAACAGGAAGTCACTGAAGTTAGTATTAGCGCCACCAGCTGGACAGAGCGTTGTACTACAGCACAGTTACTCAGGCACAGTTGAAAGAACAAGCATGAAAACCCGAGGAGGCTTTTGGAAAAGACTGTCTGTTACATTTCTATTTTGAGTAATCAGTTTTAAAAATGTGATATTTCATGTAAATAATGCATGTGTTTAATAGGATTGATATATTTGCGATGGGCCTTGTTTGTGTGATTTAAGTTATTTTGAAGGTGCATAGTGTCACTGTAAGTGAAGTTATTATAAAACTGTTAAGCTACATTTTCACTGTTTACAATGGCAGAGCCATCTCGTTTACAAGCATGTTTTAAGGCTTAATTCCTGTTACACTTATGCTCCATGGGGATTTAGATTAAACTGCATAAAGGAAAATCTATTTCTTTGTCAGTTGTAGTTTGTTTTTAAATAGAAAAAATTAAATCGATTAAAATCGAAAATCGGATTTGGTGTGAAAAAATCGGAGATTTTTTTTTTTTGCCATATCGCCCAGCCCTACTCTATACGTCCGTCTGTGGGGGAAATTTCAGGGTTGCAGCGCACATACGGGACAGTAGTTAGAGCGAGAGAGAGATAAGTAGCTGAATGCTTCTTAAATAGCTGTAAAAACTCTAAAGTAAGTGCAATAGGTACATTTCTATCCAACCAATCATATCTATAAAGTCTTGCTGCAAACAACAACAATAGCACATAATTACTGTATAATAAAGTAGGTATGGATATTGCTCTTTAAATGAATGTGTGTGATAAAAAATACTCTACAGCTGTGATAAGTTATTGAGGTTCTTTATAGTTGTTCTTGCCGATGTTCTTCCAGGTAGCTCGCCAAAGGATTAACAAATCAAATGATATACAAAATATTTCAGATTGTATTATTCATAATCATTAGTAGATGCACTAACTTTGTCACTAGTAACAAATATGTGGAGATAAATAATGGCTGTATTCAAGATCAGACTCGTTCACAACAATATATCGCCATATTTTCCCAGGGCTTAAAAGGAGTAGCTCTCCGTCTTTATCGTCGCGGTAAATTAGCTCTCTGGGTGAAACAGGTTTGAGACACCTGGTCTAAGGACAGAGACGATCAAGGACATTTATTACCATTTATAAACAGTGGTCGTTTCGCTCCAGATTGGACCAACGGCTCCAACAGATCCGTCTGATTCTCTGATCTGTTGCTGAGGAATCGACAACAACAACAAACTCAACCCCACAACAGCAAAGCCCTCAGAGACGACGGCTGTTGTGAGTTAGGCCTACACACAATAATATGAATTGAATCGGCTCGACATTACAGCTGTGATAAGTTATGGGTAGTTTGGGCAAGTGCAATAATAAGTCTATGTGCAATTCTCTCACAAATTGCACGTTTTGACTCCATTATGGTGCAGCTTGGAGCAACATCACCATGCACAATCCAAGCTGCTTTAGTGCACGTCTGAATCCAGGTCTGCTCCCAGGTCTGCTCCCGTATCCCCCTCTGCATCTCCTCCCCAGTGAACGAAGCGTGCACTGGTCATAACCTATTTGTTTACATTGATGAGAATAGGCCTTCACAGCTAGCCGCTAAGCTGACAGCACAGAACAACACAACCTGCACACAGAACGCGTTTGCACCAGAGAATGAGGCTGGTAAACAGTGCAAAAATACATACAGCTTGAGTGGAAGTTGGTGCTAGTAAGTCAGGGTAAAGGACAAAGCCTCTGCTGCATCCAGATGTCAGCTAATCATATAAGCTGTGGTGTCGGGCATGGGCAATGGATGCAAGAGACACGGCAGGAAACACGGAAATAAATGCCTGTATAAAAGCTATATGATGTGTTTTTTATACGGGTAAAATCATGCCTGGATGTAGCATTAGCTTTGCTGCTATAGGGGCCCGAAGTCCAAAGGAGGTTGCTTGCTGGCTTGCTACAACCCCAAATCCTAGGCATTTCGTCCGTGTGGGCATGTCTTTGCTGTGATTTCTATGACATTCCTTGCGATTGTGAGAATATATACAAACCTAAACGCCATGATGGATATTGTTAATGCTACGTGAAGACTTGTGGCAAGAATAATCGCTCTAGCTAAAAGTACAGACGCGATTTGGCAAATGTATGTGCAGATTGTGACCAGAAGTAGTAGCTGTGACATCGGATTGCACTTCTCAAACTGGCTTTTACAGGATGGGAAACGGGGTTAAGATACTGGGAGAGTAATGGGAGATACTTGGACACAATTTGCGTTATGTGTGTGTGTTTTTCCCCATGCAAATCAAGCGTAGACCCGGGCTACAGCGAGCCAAACCGCGCCTCGGAGTCCAAACGCCCAGGATTTCAGCGTCTCTCCTTTTTTTTGCTACACCCATCACAGTGAATCATGTCCAGGCTTCGTACCTGCTCGTCGAATCGGGAGATCACGGCCTGGACCCACTCCACGGGCTTGTGAGCCGCCATGGCCGCCTCGGTGAAGGGGGTCTGGGGGGATCGGGAGGCTCGGAGGTCTCCTGGAGCGTCCGCGGGGGTAGGTCCGCTGAGGAGGACGAGAGAGGCGACTGCTGTTCCCTTTCTGCAGAACTCACCATGCCAGCGCCATGACACGCCACCGGAAGTCTTGCTCGCTCGCACGCGCACAGACACACACACGTACACCAACACACACACACGTACACGCACATGCATACACACACGAAGCGAGTTTGTATTTTAAATCAATTCATGAAAATAAATACCCAGAAAAAACTGTATTTACGATGTGTGAGTGTGTATGTGTGTATTTGTGTGTGTGTGTGTGTTTGAGTATGCATGTATTTGTGTGTGTGTGTGTGTGTGTGTGTGTGAGTATGCATGTCTGTGTGTATTTGTATTTGTGTGTGTGTGTGTGTATGTGTTTGAGTATGCATGTATTTGTGTGTGTCTGTGCGATAAAGACTAATAAAACACACACATACGAGTAACTTTCGTTTTTAATCTTATTATTTAGAAGTTTGTGCGTGTTGTATCGTGTAGTGTACTGTAGTGTGTGCTTGTGTGTGTGTGTGTGTGTGTGTGTGTGAAGATGCGTGCGTGTACGATAAAGACAAAAAGTACAATACACATTTGTTACTTTCGTTTTTAAAGTCATCATTTCAAAGCTGGGTTACCTTTAGTTTTGGCAGCGTTTCAGATTCATGCAGCTAAAATCTGGAACAGTCTTACTGAAAATGTGAGACAGGCTTCTTCTCTGACAATGGAACTTTAGTCAAAACCATCTCTCAGCCAATCAGCTCTCAGTATACAAACACAAATCAATAACGTAAAATAATAATAATAATAATTTGTTCTAGTAAGAATGTGTTCTTTATTGGCAAATTCGATTAAATTCAAGTCTGTTTTCACAGCCCTCAATCACAACAGCAGTCGTCTGAGGGCTTTACACAGTTGTCGATTCGCCAGCAGCAGATCAGAGAATCAGTTACAAACACAGGAAATGCATCGGGAGCGGGACGACCATAAAAGTTGCTTAAAGTGCATAAATGTAGGTAAAGTGCAGGTGACACATCCACGGCCCGCAGTTCTCAAAGAAGGCCATAGACAATTATTTTTATTATTCATTTATTTCAAACTTGCACAATACATATTTTTACATATATCAATATAACAGACAAATAAGTGTTAATAATATCATGCGGTAGAATTCTCAAACACACAACGGGTACATTGCAAACAGTTATACAATACTCTACCACCAATGGTAGAAGACAAACAACACTAAACACACGCACACACACGGACACACACTCTGACAGCGCACACACACACACACACTCTGACAACACATACACGCACACAAACACACACACACATTCTGACAACATACATACACACTTTGACAGCACACACACACACACACACACACTCTGACAACACATACACACACACATACACTCACACTCTGACAAAACACACACACTCTGACAGCACACACACATACTCTGACAGCACACACACACACACACGGCACGGTGGCTGAGTGGATAGCACTCTCGCCTCTCAGCAAGAAGGTCCTGGGTTCGAATCCCGGTCGGACCAGGGCCTTTCTGAGTGGAGTTTGCATGTTCTCCCCGTGTCTGCGTAGGTTTCCCCCGGGTACTCCGGTTTCCCCTACCACTAAAAATATGTCCAATAGTTCTGGCATGCGCTTCCTGTACTGGAGACCCCGCTCCCATCTCTGTGTGGAGTGAGAGAAAAATGCCCAAAATTAACAATTGTAAACTGCTTTGAGACTCAGATCTGCAGTGAAAAGGCGGTATATAAATAAAAACTTACTTACTTACACACACTGACAGCACACAGGCCCAAACACTCTCCGACCCTACACCTCTCCCACTACTTGCTCTGTGCTCATTAACTAACTATAATAATAATACTATAATAACCAGTGTTTGTGGTAACGAAGGCTTCTAACAATATACTTTTTTTAATTGTCGCATATTAAGTAAGTAAGTAATGTTTATTTATATAGCGCCTTTCACAGACCAGAGTCAAAGCGGTTTACAATTGTGGGCGTTAGTCTCTCAGTCCACACCGAGATGGGAGCGGGGCCAGTGCAGGAGGCACAGATCTATTGTACATGGTTTTAGTGGTAGGGGAAACCGGAGCACCCGGAGAAAACCTACACAGATACGGGGAGAACATGCAAACTCCACTCAGAACGGCCCTGTTCCAACCGGGATTCAAACGCAGGACCTTCTTGCTGAGAAACGAGAGCGCTTAACCACAGGTAAACATTCTACAGTAGAATATGGCTGTAAAAGTTTAAATTTAAGTTTTAGTTCAATATAATAAAATCCAAAATCTAAAACAAATAAAAATCTCTATCTTTAGCAAAAATATATATATATACACACACAACAATTATACCACGTTATTTATCGTCAATGATTAAAACCTCTGGACATAAGCTTTGGGTAAGTGACTGGATGCTCCTTTAGAGATAAGAGCTCGGAGTAGAGCCGCTGCCTCTCCACGTGTAGAGGTGCCAGTTGAGGTGGCTTGGGCCTCTGTTTGGGAATGCCTTAGGATTCCCCCAGATGAGCTGCAGGAAGTGTGTGTGTAGAGGGATGTCTGGGTGTCTCTGCTTAGACTGCTGCGTCCCAACGACCCGGCCACGGATAAAGCAGAAGAATGTGAATGAATGGATGGATTAAAAATTCACAAATCTTTGCGTTTTCATCAAAAAGTTTTTATTTGAGCGTCGAGTCTGTCTGAAATAATAAAAGGCACCATTTCACACTCGCTCCACGTGGCAACACATTTTAATGGCTGTCAATAACTTAACACAACTGGATAACATAATTGATAACATTCAGCTCAGACTTTGGGGACAGCGCCTCCTAGCGTTCAACTATTTTAACACGTTTATCAATTACAGCGGCAAAACACAATCCAAGTCACGTTTGCATAGAGAGAGAATAAGTGTTTTGGGGTAAAACAGGAGAAAATACGAACAATACAGTTTATTTATCGTTAAAGAATACAGTAATTTTTTTCTTTTTTATATATAACCGTTTCTTGTTTTTCTCGTGGTGAGCAGTGACACCTCCTGGTCATTTAGCGCTACTGCAGTGTCCTCTCTGTAAAAGCTAAAGAAACCGATTTTCAAGTCAAAATTTGGGTGTTTTCACGATATAAAAATATGTTTGATGGTCAGACACAAAAATAGGCAAAAATCATGGAGAAAATATTGAGGATGAGGTGAAATTTGGGGCTCAAAATGAATAAAAAAAATAAAAAATGGACTTTTGCGAATTTGTTAAATGAGATAAATTGTATTAACATGGACAGTACTTGAAATACTCTGGTTTCAGTATAATATTATAGAGTTAAAATGATAAAAGTCACTGTCTCATACACCACTGTGAGCGTTGGAAGATACAGATGATACTACCAATACAACCAAAAGAATAGTAAAGAATTCCAAATAGTGACTCAAATAGTATAAATTCTGACTTATTCCACATAAACACAGACATCCAGGGCCAAAATGTTCAAACTGTTTCATTATTGCATCTTTTTAGATTTTAGGCTCTGGAAGTTTTCATAGTTTCAGATTTCAGTCTTTTAGTCAGATCGAACAAAACTTGTTTAAGCTGAATTGTGAACACAAACACACACAGACAGACACACACACAGACACAGACAGACACACACACAGAGACACAGACAGACAGACACGCAGACACACACACACACAAAGACAGAGACACACACACATATACACACACACAGGTTAATCCTTTGCAAATAAGAGATTCCTTTGGTGAGACTGAGAAACAAAATCTTCTCTTTTTTTGGTAAGACTTGGTTCCAACACGGTCCGATCCATGTCGTGTTTAAGGCACCGCGGAACAACATCCATTATTTTGGCAAAACTTTCCACAGCCGGAGGTGGAGCAGCGGCCAGAGCTCAGATGGTACAGCGTCCGAGTCCGAGGTTGGTGGTTCAAATCCTGCTCCCGACATAGCAACATCATGGGCAAGTGTGAAACCAGCTCCCATTGGTGACTGCTGCCTTGGTCCTCGTTCTACAGCCTGACTCCTGTCCTGGATCTAAAGCCTGTCCCGATGGGGGTCTAAGGACAGTGGGGATGATCCAGGATCTTTATGGACATTGATGGACATTTATCTTCCATCCCTTATGGACCAATGTCTCTGTGTGTTTTTTATTGTTGCATTTCCTGTTTGATTCTCTGATCTGCGTTGGCAACTCACAATTGACAACTTTGCAAACTCTTCCAAAATAGCTACAGTTGTGATTTAGGGATTTAGTGTGTGTGGGGGGGGGGGGCTGGAGATGGACGGACGGACGCAGATTTGAGCAGTTCTTTTGGTTCATTGTCTGTGGGTGTTTTTACTCCACGGCTCCTGGTCTCGTGGCCACGTAGACGAACAGCACGATGAGGACCACGACCACGGCCAGAGTGGGCAGGACCACGGTAGCGATCTGCTGCCGCGCCTCCTGCATCGCCTGCTTACGCTCCTTCTTGTCTTTCGACGTCTCCTTCTTGGCTTTTCCCTTGAGCTGCCTCATGGTGGCGCTGTGGTGGCTTCCGGGCCTCGCAGGAACCTGTGGGAAAGTTACAAAAATGGTGATTGTTGTGTCTGAAGTGAGGATGAAAACAATTGTATTTGTGTGTCTTCATGTGTGTGTGTGTGTGTGTGTGAGTGTGTGTGTCTGTGTGTCTTCATGTGTGTGCCCATCACTGTGTGTCCGTGTGTCTCCATCTACGTGTGTCTCAGCGTGTGTGTGTGTGTGTCTGTCTTCATGTGTCTTCTGTGTGTGTGTGTGTGTCTATGTGTCTTCGTGTGTGTGTGTATGTCTTCATGTGTGTGTGTGTCTGTGTCTTCTGTGTGTGTGTGTCTTCGCCATGTGTCTCTGTATGTGTATCTCCGTCCGTCTGGCTGTGTGTCTCCATCTATGTGTGTGTGTGTGTGCATGTCTGTGTGTCTCAGTGTATGTGCGTCTCTGTGTATGTGCGTCTCTGTGTATGTGCGTCTCTGTGTATGTGCGTCTCTGTGTATGTGCGTCTCTGTGTATGTGCGTGTGTTTTTCAAGCTATATTTCTGTTTTGTGTGCCGGTTGTTATATGCATGTGGGAACTATTGATGGAACATAATACACATTCAATATGTTTGGCCTCTGTCACATCTATAGATCAGATTTTTCAGACAGAAAAGTTAAAAACAGAGGACCACCCTCTCTCAGCCAATCAGCTCTCACCATGTTGTCGTCTGTTCACAAAATGTTGCTTAAGCCAGACTCTTTCTCTCGGGGCAAACGCAATGTATTTATGAAACCAACAACAGACAATGTCGAAATGTTGCCTCAAAAACAGATTAAAGTATTTAAAAACATGTTGAAACTCTATAAACTATGTGCAGATACTGGAAGACCAAGAGGAAAGAAAATATATATACACAGAGAAATATATGTCTCTGTGTGTCTCTCTTTGTGTGTCTCTCTCTGTGTGTCTCTCTCTGTGTGTCTCTCTCTCTCTGCGTCTCTGTCTCTCTCTCTGAATCTCTCGTGTCTCTCTCTGTGTCCCTCTCTGTGTCTCTGTCTCTCTCTTGTGTCTCTCTTTGTCACTCTCTCTGTCTCTCCCTGTGTCTCTGTCTCTCTCTCTCGTGTCTCACTCTGGCTCTCTTTCTGTGTCTCTCTCTGTGTGTGTCTCTCTCTGTGTGCCTCTCTGTGTGCCTCTCTGTGTGCCTCTCTGTGTGCCTCTCTGTGTGTCTCTCTCTGTGTGCCTCTCTGTGTGCCTCTCTGTGTGCCTCTCTGTGTGTGTCTCTCTCTGTGTGCCTCTCTGTGTGCCTCTCTGTGTGTGTCTCTCTCTGTGTGCCTCTCTGTGTGCCTCTCTCTGTGTGTCTCTCTCTGTGTGCCTCTCTGTGTGCCTCTCTGTGTGCCTCTCTGTGTGTGTCTCTCTCTGTGTGCCTCTCTGTGTGCCTCTCTGTGTGTGTCTCTCTCTGTGTGCCTCTCTGTGTGCCTCTCTGTGTGTGTCTCTCTCTGTGTGCCTCTCTGTCTCTGTCTCTCTCTCCGTCTCTTGTGTCTCTCTCACGCCTCATTTTTATAACTACTTGCATAAGACTCACACAAGATAATATATCATCTATGAAACAAAGGTCAAGTCCCCGAGCTTTAAAAAAGAGCAAACACATCTGGAAATGAAATGTACGTGACGGTAAACGGTGACATCTCATCGAGGTTTTCATTTTTACTTATTTAACCTGAAACTACAGCTCAAGGGCCGATAGAAAACTCCAGAAATCAGATGTTTTGGCATGTGAACCTAACCCAGGCTTTGATTATTGCCTTGTACTGACTGTATCTTACACTAGAGATTAAGATTAGGATTAAGATTGAGATGAAGAGATTAATTGATCCCACAATGGGGAAATATCAAGGTTGCATCACAAAATACAGAACAGTCGGCATGAGGAGCACACAATACAAGATAAGTGTAGCACCGCTCTATACTTTACACAAATACAATAAAATCTCTACATTTGTCTTATTAAAGGAACAATATGTAAAAATCTGGCCAAAAGTGGTACTGCAGTAACAGGCAATATTTTGTAGTCCTCTCCCACTCTCCCTGACTCAGGTTGCCAGATACACACCAAATCCAGCAGCAAACACAGGTACTTATTTTATCAGTTGTTTGTCTGTCTCCATTCACATTGCCATGAGGCGTGCTAATGTTGAATGAATGTTGAATTTCTTTATTCTATTTGGACATTTGAGATTAAAAAAAAAACAATAACAATATAAAAGCCATGTAATTATAGATTATCCAAAATAAATAAGCAATTGATGTCCAAAATAGGAGTGGGAAGAATAGATGTTGGAACGTATTTCTTCAGCGTATCAACATCAGGGTTTCCTCCAGAGGATATCACCTTTACATTTTATTTATTCCCTATTTTTTAGACAAAAATGTATAAGTCCCACATCAAAAAGAGACTAACATTATTTTAATTGGGGTACATGTGGTCTTAAATTATTCTTTTTACAATTAAGCTATAATCTGCAGAAAAACGTCTCTTGACCTTCGTCTTTTACCGTTTTTAGAGCAATCTGTCATAGAATGTGATAACATGCAATTAAATACAAAAAGACATAGCCCGAGATCGAACCCGTGTTGCTGCATCGAGAGCACAAAGTTATAACCACTGGACCATTGATTTGCGCGATAAGCGCATTTCTGAAGAACGGATTCAAAGCAGCACATGAAAACTTATCAGCTGTCTCAATTGTTCAAAGGCGTCCCGATATAAATCCTCGTTTAAGTCTTTCTTTTGTCATGAATTATTTGAGAGTAATAACAAGACCTTTTTTAGTTCTGCGCCACATGTTATTTTACCACTGAGATTAGTGAGCCGCGCGGAGTTCTGGCAACCCGATCACGGACTTACATGACACTTCCTGATTGGCGAAACGGCGGAGGGTAGGACATCAAAATCAAAACAATAACAACTTTTACGGGTCGTAAAACTAATTTTGATAATCAAATATCTCGGCTGAACTACTGTTTTCAGTTAAAGATGTATTTGAAAAGAGCATGATTTAATAACGCCTTTTGAAATATGGAGACCATTTAATGATGACTTGACATGCAAATATTACATACTGCTACTTTAAAGAAGCATCATAGAAAGTATAAACCTGTATTCTCTCGTCAAATTTTAAGTAAGAGCCATTTTAGTTCAGCAGACTTCACCTGAGGCCGACAACACAGATAGTAAAACTGTTTTGACTGGATTCCGGCTGCTCTGACCTTCTAGAATGAGATATGACATTCCCACATCAATTCACACATCGACGTAGCTGAAGTCGGCTGAATGACAAACATTTGCTATCTCACATTAGCGCCATTAACATAATTTTATGCTACAAACAAAAACAAAAGCAAGTTTATACTAATAAACGTCAATAAACTGGATTCTAGAGCTTTCTAAAGAGGTATCGAATGCATATATTGGTGGAGCTGAAGTTGGCTGGATGACACTGACATTTTCTAAAACATCATGAAGACTACTTTGTATTGGGAAGGCACAGGACCACATAAACATGACAGAGAGGGTCGCAAATGGCTCGCGGGCCGCAGTTTGGACACCTAACTTTGGTTCTATTTCATCCTTCCTGACCGCCAGAGGCGGTGCTTAAGCACTGGATGATCATCCTCGCGCATGCACAGATCGAGAGTCAAATAACAACAAAGTCACCCGTGACCTCCGGTAGCTCACGCGAGAGTCTATAAAGCCACGTGACACCGGAAGCACAGTCCCTTTTCACTTTCTCGCATGCAGGTTGTATGAGTCTGGCTGAAGCTAACTGATAGCTGTTTGTGCCTGTTGTTCGCGCCGCTTGCTGCCTGTAGCCCCGTGACTGCTCGTCGGTCGGTGCTGCGAGTTTCTCGCCCTCCGTGGGCTGCGCAAGCCGCGCTGCTTGCCTCTGGTGAGTGTTTGTTTTGCTTATTCGCCGTGACTTGTGCTCGGTTGTTTTTCGTTACTTCTTATAATTGAGGGGTTACTAGTGGCGTTTCTGCTCGACCCGACCCTGTTATCTGGCTGTTTACCTGCGCGTATTCAGAGTGTGTTTGGTGGGTTACCAGTGGCGTTCTGCTCGACCTGACCCTGTGTCTTGTTAATTACCTTGTTAATTATTTGTTAATTTCTGTCGGTCACTGGTGGCGTGTCTGCTCGACCTGACCCTGTTGAATTGGCTGTTGCCTGCGCGTGTTCCACGTGTTTCTGCGGGTTGTAAGTGGCGTCTCTGCTCGCACTACCCTACTATATTGGTTGTTCCCTGCACGTGTACGGCGTTCGGTGGGTCACTAGTGGCGTCTCTGCTCGACCTGACCTTGCTGTATTGGTTGTTCCCGGCACGTGTACGGCGTTCGGTGGGTCACTAGTGGCGTCTCTGCTCGACCTGACCCTGCTGTATTGGTTGTTCCCTGAACCTGTGAGGCGTTCGGTGGGTCACTAGTGGCGTCTCTGCTCGACCTGACCCTACCGGGAGTGCCCCTGTACTTGGCGGCGACTGCTCCTGCGCGTTAGCTCGCTGGGATGCTTGAGCCGTTGGCCTGCCAGTCCTGTCTGGCCCCGATGCAGCAGGACGATGGCCATGTGCTGTGTCCCTCCTGTCTGGGTGTGGGCCACCTGCGGGAGGCGCTAACCGAGCGTGCATGTCCCGATTGTGCGGTAATGCCCTGGCCGGTGCGCGTGGCCCGCCTGTCGGCCCTGGACGGACATTTCAGTGGCGATTCTGGGGACTGTGAGTCTGCCCTGTTGGTTGACCGACCCCCTGGTCGCAAACGTGAGGGCGCCCGGGGTGATGACCCTCCGCGGAAGAAGTCGAAGTCCTCTGGTCGCGGGGTTCTGACTTCGAAGGTCGATTCGCTTTCTGTGGAGTTGGCTCAGTTGCGGACCCTCCTTCATGACCTTCGGGCTGGTACTGGCCAGTCGGTGGCCCGACCGGTCTCGGCCCCTTTGTCGGTGTGCGATGAGGATGATGCTCTCTCGGTGGCGGCATCTGACACACATTTTCGGCCGGGCTCTGATGTTCTGAGCTCCAGGGTCTCGGAGTCTGGTTCGGTGGGTTCTGTCGGGTCTCTGTCGGTTTCCGATGAGCCCGTGACTGCGGCGATCCGAACGGCTCTGGCGCATTTGAAGCTGGATGTGCCTCAGTGCGATGCGGGGCCCTCGAGTGCCTTCTTTCGCCGCCAGTCTGCGTCCTCGGGGTTCTCTGTTCCTCCTTCGGCGGAATATGTCAAGGAGCTACATGCCTGTTGGACTGACACGAGGGTTTTTTCTAGGCCCAATTCGGACGGTCGGGCCCTGGCTTCTATGCAGGCGCCTGACAAAGTTGGCCTGGGGCATATGCCGGCGGTGGAGCCTGCCATTGCCTCCTTGATTGTACACCCTGAAGAGGCTCTGCGCACTAATGCCCGGTGCCCTCGGCCGCAGTGTCGGGCCACAGATGACCTGCTCTGCAAGGCCTATGACATGGGGGCCCGCATGGGCCGCATTGGGAACTCCCTGTCTCATCTGCTGTTGGGGCTGTCCGCTTCTCTGGAGGCTGTCACATTGGACCAGTCCACGCAGGGGATGGTGGATGCTTCCTTGCAGGCTTTTGCCTTCATGTCTAGGGAACTGGGGCGTCTCCTCTCTACGCTGGTTCAGACTCGCCGCCAGGTGTGGTTGGCGCAGTCCCCTCTCTCCGAGGCCAGCCGCAGAGTGTTGAGGAGCGTTCCTGTGCTCCCTGGAGAGCTGTTTGGCTCGGCTGCCATTGCGGCTCTGGAGCGCACGGTCCAGGCCACTCAGACCCGGCAGCAGTTGGTGGGACTGCACAGGCATCCCCCGCGTGCGTCCGCTTCTGCTGCCCCTGTGCGCGGGCGGGTGGCCCCGCCCCGGAGTTTTTCTGTGCCCCGGACGGTGGATGGGCCGTCGGCTCATGGGGCTCGGCGGGGGAACTTTCCCCCGGCTCAGGCTCCACTGCGTCCCAGTCGTCGCCCCCCCAGGCCCGCTAAAGGCCGGGGTGCCCTCCGGTGAGGCGCCGGGGCCGGTGGTGGGACGGTTTACCCCGGGACAACTTGGTTACTGGAGGGCCCAATCCCCCGATGCATGGGTTGTGGCCACTTTGTCCGTGGGGTATCGTCTCCAGTTCCGCCGCCGGCCTCCTGTTCCCGGCCGGGTCCTTGTGACTGTCATCCAGGACCCGGTCAGGGCGCAGGCACTTGTCCGGGAGATTCGTACTCTACTGGACAAGGATGCCATCGTGCCTGTCGACCCCCTGCTGGATCCAGGGGGCTTTTATTCCCGTTATTTTCTTGTACCGAAAAAGACCGGCGACTTGCGACCGGTCTTGGACCTGAGGCGTCTGAATGTTTTCTTGAAGGTCCTCCCTTTCAAGATGTTGCGTGTCCGGCAGGTCCTCCAGGCGGTGTCCCCTGGGGACTGGTTCACGTCGATAGACCTGAAGGACGCCTACTTTCACGTCCCGATTGCTCCTCAGCATTGCCGGTTCCTGCGTTTTGCCTTTCAGGGGAGGCACTTCCAGTTCAGGGTGCTTCCCTTCGGCCTCTCGCTCTCTCCTCGGGTCTTTACGAGATGCGTGGCGGCGGCTCTTTCCCCGTTGCAGGCCAGGGGGTTGAGGATCCTGCCCTATCTGGACGATTGGCTGATCTGTGCCCCCACTCGCGAGCAGTCTCTGCGGGATACGCAGGCTGTGATAGAGCACGTGACCAGGTTGGGTCTGCGAGTGAACCTGGCAAAGAGCAATGTGGTGCCGTCTCAGCAGGCTTTGTTCCTGGGCATGGCTCTGGATTCCCTGTCTATGTCCGCCCGCCCCTCGCCTCGACGTGTCGGGGACATTCGGGCGTTGCTCCCGGGCTTCCGTCGAGGACGGTCGCTCCCTTACCTGGCGTTCCTCAGGCTCCTGGGCATGCTGATTGCAGCCTCGTCTGTGGTCCCCCTGGGTCTTTTGTCCTTGCGCCCGCTGCAGATGTGGCTCAATGGCCTGGGGCTGGACCCGGCCAATCCTGTTCACAGACGTCGGCGGTTACTGGTGTCTCCTCGGTGTATGGAGTCACTGTCCCGGTGGCGCGACGAGGCGTTTGTGCTGACGGGCGTCGCGCTGGGTCCCCTGCCGTCCCGCCGGGAGGTGGTGCATACGGACGCGTCCCTGACAGGGTGGGGCGCAACGTGGCAGGGGCGTGCGGTTCAGGGCGTCTGGCCGGTGCGGCAGAGGGGGCTCCATATCAACGTCCTGGAGCTCCTGGCCGTTCAGCTTGCGCTGCGCCATTTCCTGCCGGTCTTGCGGGGGCGGCATGTGTTGGTGCGGTCGGACAACACCAGTGTGGTCTATTTCATCAACCACCAGGGGGGAACTCGGTCGGAGTGCTTGCTGGCAGTGGCACGAGGGCTGTTGACTTGGGCCTATCCCCGTCTTGCGGGTTTGACCGCGATGCACATCCCAGGGACTCTGAATGTGTCGGCGGATTTCCTGTCGCGCCACGTTTCGCTGCCGGGCGAGTGGCGGCTACACCCGGAGGTAGTGGTCTCCATTTGGGGGTTGTTCGGCCGGGCGAGGGTGGATCTCTTTGCCTCTCAGGGAACGACTCATTGCCCGCTGTGGTTCTCCGTGTTGGAGTCCACCGGTCCCCTGGGTCAAGACGCGCTGGCTCACGACTGGCCCAGGGTTCTGCTGTACGCGTTCCCGCCGTTCCTTCTGATCCATCAGACGCTGCTCCGGGTCCTTCAGGAGGGCCACAGGATGATACTGGTGGCCCCGTATTGGCCGGGGAGGACATGGTTTCCCTTGCTGCTCAGGCTCTGCTGCGGCTTGGCGAGACCCCTTCCCTCCAGGCGGGATCTCCTGTCTCAACTGGGGGGCCGGCTTCTCCATCCGGACCCCGGCCGCCTGCGGCTTTGGGTGTGGCACCTCCGGGGACCGGTTTAGCGTTTACAGCCTATACTGGGGAGGTTGGCCGCACCATGTGCAATGCCCGGGCTCTGTCCACACGCCGGCTGTATTCCTGTAAGTGGAACGTGTTCGACGGGTGGTGTCGTGGCAGGGGACTCGACCCGCGTCTCTGCTCGGTGACGTCCATACTGACCTTCCTTCAAGAACTGCTCAGTAAAGGCCGTTCTCCGTCCACCCTGAAGGGTATACGTTGCTGCGATTTCGTGTGGGCACGCTGGGTTTGGTGGGACTAGTGTCGGTCGTGTTACTGACGTTTCACTGTTTTTGAAAGGTGCCCGCCGGTTGCACCCGCCCTGTCGTCCTGTGGTGCCGGCTTGGGACCTCTCGGTTGTCCTTGATGCCCTGCGTTCCCCGCCATTTGAGCCTTTGGGGGAGATTGCCCTCAAGTGGCTGTCTATGAAGACAGCGTTTCTCCTGGCTATGGCCTCCGGACGGCGGGTGAGTGAACTCCATGCTCTGTCGGTGACCGAGGCCTGTTGTCGTTGGCATCCTGACGGCTCGGGTGTGTCTATGTGGCCGGATGTGTCCTTTGTCCCGAAGGTGTCTTCTGGTCGGTATGACGGGCCCCTTCAGTTGGCCCGTTTTGGTTCTGGTGAGCCCCCTGACCCTCTGTGCCCTGTTCGTGCACTGGAGGTGTACATTCGCTCCACGGCCTCGATAAGGCGTTCAGACGCCCTGTTTGTCTGCTGCGCCGGCCCTCGCGTTGGTCGGGCTCTGTCCAAGCAGCGTCTCTCCCACTGGGTCGTGGGGGTTGTGACAGAGGCCTATGCCTTGCGGGGGCTGCCGTTACCGCCTGGGGTGAGGTGCCATTCTACGAGGGGCATGTCAACTTCGTGGGCTGCTGTGAGTGGTGTGTCGTTGGACGTCATCTGTGCGGCGGCGTCATGGTCGTCCCCAAGCACCTTCGCCAGGTTTTATCGGGTTAATGTTGCCGCCCCGCACCCCCTGCAGGGGGTTCTGCGGCGCCGCTCATCCGTTTCACAGTAAGGTGAGGTTCTGGTTGGTTTCCTCGTGACCTTGCTGATATTCGTCATCCAGTGCTTAAGCACCGCCTCTGGCGGTCAGGAAGGATGAAATAGAACGAGAGTTACGACTGTAACTACGGTTCTATGAATCCTGGATGACCGCCAGAGCGCCCGGTCCCTCGGAATCCTTGTGCAAGAAAGGTTCTAGGGACTGTGCTTCCGGTGTCACGTGGCTTTATAGACTCTCGCGTGAGCTACCGGAGGTCACGGGTGACTTTGTTGTTATTTGACTCTCGATCTGTGCATGCGCGAGGATGATCATCCAGTGCTTAAGCACCGCCTCTGGCGGTCATCCAGGATTCATAGAACCGTAGTTACAGTCGTAACTCTCGATATACATATATTATAGACAAAGCTGTAATTCAATCTAGTACAAGAATATTGAAGTAATGTGTAACTACTACTATGTATACACGTTACTATACTCTGAACACGTGCTTACGTCTGTTATCTAGTGACATGGAGACTGGGAAAGTTTGAATAAATCAGTTTTAAAAATCGCAACATTGCATTTCCCACAGCCATCCGAGACTGACGTAACATGACGCTATTTGGGCACAACACGACATGTGCCTTTAAAACTGCGAAAATCTAAACTTTAACTAAAGAGATTAAGTTTTAAAACACATTAAGAACACTGCTTGGAAATCCCCTGGGAACAGAAACTTTGGGAGAGATTCTAGGAGCGCGCTGTCAGACCCAAGACCTCAGACTGTGAAGAAATCTGACGCCAAGATCAAAATACGACTTTAGCGTCAATCCGCGGAGGGTTTAGTGTCGTGGAGGTGGTTGGTTTGTGAGGAAACGTCTTCCAAAAAACAGAGAAATAGTAGAAAGTTTTGATACGAACCTGCTGCTCACCAAACTCGACGTGGCATTGAGCGCTTCCGGGGTGCGCCTTCACAATAAAAGACGGAAGCAGGACACTCGTGTTTAAAAAAATAAAAGAGGAAATGTCTCTGTTCAGGGAAGGAAAGGAAACAAGATAGAGACAGTGAAGGTAGGAGCACAGGGACTGGCCTCCTGCTGGGAGTCTGAGGAGCACAGGGACTGGCCTCCTGCTGGTCCCAGAGTCAGGACCGGTCAGGACTGAACATGTGGTGTCAGCGTTTCAGAGTCATGCAGCTATCATCTGGAATGATCTTCCAGAAAATGTGAGACAGGCTCTACTCAGTTCAATGTTCAAATCCAAGCCTATTAAATGTGCTATACAAATAAACTCGCCTTGCCTTTCCATAGTACACTCACTAACAGAAACGTGCCACAGAAGTTTATACACTCACACATCTGTAGAATTGTAGTAGTAATATTAAGAATTTATTTCAAACTTTATGCAAAAGAAAAAAAATTAACAATAAACAATAAACGAGGTGGGAAATAAAATAAAAACAAGAAACCAAATACACAGAAATGAAAACGCTTATTTGGCTCCAAGCTCTCATTCAAAAGAGAATAAAGAATGAATAATGAAGAAACTCCCCGCGGTTCCCCGTGACTCCCCGCGGGGAACCTAACTTGCACTTGTCCGCTCGTGGCCCTCAGCCCTGGCCCCCTGCTCTCCGCCTGTCACACGGTGGTGCTGCCCGGTGGTAAATCCCAGTCTCTCGCGTCTCCCGCACCGCTCCACTGGCTGCCATGGCCTTCACTCAACCCCAGCTCCCGGACGCGTCACGGCAAAGCGCGCTTCCGATTGGCCCAGCGCGCTGCGTAATCTCCCCCCAACCCCGACCCAGGCGAGCGAGCTCCGGGTTGTGTTCACCATGTTGGATCCACACCGACTTATCACCTCGCTGCTTTTTTAGCCCTGGGACTTTTTCCTTTGATAACATGTCAGCCGCGGCAACGCAACGTGGGCTCGACGCGTCTCCGGTGCCGTCTTGATTACGCGCGTATGTCTCTCTCTCTCTCTCGCCTCTCTTCTTCCACTCCCTCCTTCCTCTGCGCGCTCTGACAGCCACCAACCCCGCGTACAGAGAAACGGAAGAACTGTGTGCTTGTTTTGATTTGGCTCCGACCTGTCAACGCGGCTGCTTGACGCCTTCATTCTGTCCGGGAAACGCAGATAAATCCTCACGCAACTTGGTTTGTTGTTTATACTCGCGCGTTCTGTTTTTTTGGACACGCAGAAGCGACATGGCACTGGACTGAGCTGAAAGCACAAGTCTTGGGGGTCTATGGGGAGAGAAGTTGGGAGCTACAGCGGGAGAAGCAGAGGAGCAGGAGGCGCTTGCTTGCCCCAGGATCATGGCCGAAGCCTCGAACGCGATGCTTTCCCCGTGCGTAATTTTTGACCGATAGAGGCCTGCGTCGCGTCGCTTCTCCCTCCGCTACTCGTAACCCGGGGCCTAGAGGGGATACACCTCCTCTGCGTTGGTTAATTACGCCTGGGAGAAGATTATAGCCGTTCGCTCTATACCAGCAGACGTGGAAAGACGCACACACACATAGTATACACACACACACATACACACTTTATTGGCGTCTCTGTGGATGTGTTTTGGGAATTTTCACCTGCGAGTGTTGGAAAACTTGGACATGAATGCTCTGGTGCTCATGTGACACGCTTCGGATCACTCTGTTCTCTCTCCACGGGGGATAGGGGCCCCTCCTCGGCTTTGATGATGGACATCTAGGGCTTATTCATCCACAAGGGGGGAGCGGGTGTTCCTGGAAAGTCGGACCCAGCTGCAGGTGCGCGCAGGCGGGATACACTTGGACATTTCTGCTGAAGAGGATTTTTTTTTTTTTCTTTTTATTATTTGTTATTGAAGAAGTGGGTCAGATCAGTGGCCCGTGCTGTGCTATGGTTGTCCCGGTAGATGTGCGCGGACCCCGTGTGTTTGGGGTATTATGACTTTTGCACTCTTGCTCGCGGTGCTTTGAAGTTTTGAAGATGATTCGTGAGGGTTTGGTGACGTTTTGGCCCCGTGTCCATCTCAGTGTTTGAAGCCGAACCCACAGTGCATGGCGCTCTGCAGCTGGTAGCAAAGGTAAGAAGCTGGAACAGTGGCTTTCATCACGACAAATGTGTTTATTACCAAGTTATTGGCACGTGACATGACGTAATAGTAACGTCCTCCTGTTTTACAGGTTGTATTTGTGACTGAAATGACACTAGAGCCTCTCAGACACAGAGGGAAGCATTTGTTATTCTACTACACTTAGAAGCACGGCTAACCACGTAAACTCTGTTCATGAACCACTTCGAGTATGGATGAATTGATTTAGAAGCATGACTAAACCCTTCACATGTGAGTGAATGAACTTAAGAAGCATGGCTAACCACTTTACATATTCATGAAGAGACTTGGAAACATGGCTAACCACGTGTTCACATCTTTATTACGGAAGTTAGACGCAGTACTAATGAACCTAGAAGCTTGGCTAACCACTTCAAACCTGCTTTTAGACACGTTATTGGCTGCCGTCTATTTGGTTTATTAAACGGCATGCCAATAAACTAGTCATCTGTTCATGAAATTAGGAGCACAGCTAACCACTTCATATTTGTATTTGTGAACCTTGGAGCATGGCTAACCTCTTCAAAGTTGTATGTTTTAGCATGACTAACCACTCTGCACTGGTGTTTGTGAAGTAGAAGCATGGCTAACCTCTTCAAGCTTGTATCTATTATTGTAGAAGCGTGACTAACCACTCTGCATCTGTGTTCGTGAACTTAGAAGCATGGCTAACCAAACGTGTATTTATTGTTTCTAGAAGCATGGCTAACCAGTGTTCTTTATTCATGTGATTTATAAAATGTGAATACAAAAAACAGGTAGATCTGCTACACAATCATTAACCATTTATTGTTTTAGAAGCATGGCTTACCACTCTGTACCTGTGTCCATGTACATAGAAGCATGGCTAACCACTTTGCACCTGTGTCCATAAACATAGCAGCATGGCTAACCACTCTGCACCTATGTCCATGAACATAGAAGCATGGCTAACCCATTTGCACCGGTGTCCATGAACATAGAAGCATGGTTTACCACTTTGCACCTGTGTCCATGAACATAGAAGCATGGCTAACCACTCTGCGCCTGTGTCCATGAACATAGAAGCATGGCTAACCCCTTTGCACCTGTGTCCGTGGCCATAGAAGCCTGGCTAACAACTTCAAACTTGTATTCATGAACATAGAAGCATGGCTAACCTTTTCAAACTTGTATGTGTACACATAGAAGCATGGTTAACCACTTCAAACTTGTACTCCGGAACTTAGAAGCATGCTAACTTCTTCAAACATGTATAAGCATGGCTAACCACCACCAGATACCTCACCTGTGTACAATGCAAATGAAAGCACTCATTTGCATTGTACCTGACAGAGCAACAATGTCCCAGAACTAAACCATGAAAAGTAGATGGATCATTTTGGACTTTTATCCCAAAGAAAAATCAAGTTTGTCTGAACAAAAACACATTTATTTATTTTATGAACAAAGGATCTCTTCATCTTCATCTCGGTTAAATGTGCGTTAAGCACGAGCCAGGTCTGTAGATAGGCAAGCTCACTCCCTGTTTAATTGGATAGATATAGATATAGATAGATACTGCAGTGTCCAATATCTCACTCGCACCCATGATTGTACTGTATATGACAATGCTAACCCCAATGCTAAGGACAATGCTAACCCCAATGCTAAGGACAATGCTAACCCCAATGCTAAGGACAATGCTAACCCCAATGCTAAGGACAATGCTAACCCTTATGCTATGGACAATACTAACCCTAATAATATGGACAATAACCCTATGGACAACCCTATGGACAAGGCTATCACATGCTAACCCTAATGCTATGGAAAATGCTAACCCTAATGCTATGGAAAATGCTAACCCTAATGCTATGGACAATGCTAACCCACTAACCCTAATGCTATGGACAATGCTAACCCGCTAACCCTAATGCTATGGAAAATGCTAACCCTAATGCTCTGGACAATGCTAACCCGCTAACCCTAATGACAATGCTAACCCGCTAACCCTAATGCTATGGAAAATGCTAACCCTAATGCTATGGACAATGCTAACCCTATGGACAACCCTAAGGAGAATGCTATACCATGCTAACCCTAATGCTATGGACAATGCTAACCCTCTCGCTCAAGAGAGAAGTGCTCATAGACAAAGTTTTGCTCCCAACTCGCTCTGGCTTCTTTTTACTTACATTGAAAAGTTTGTGTAAGCTCTCAGTCGTACAGGGATTAGTCAAAGCAAAGGAAGGTTTCTCACCCATCATCTGTACTTCTTAGCAAGTTTTCCCGACGTTTCGTCCTCAACCTAGCGGACTTCTTCAGGGAATGAATTCTCGGACCGCGCGTTGGAGATTTATAACCTATGGGTGTGGTTAGCCACACCCTAATCCTGATACTAACTCATAAACAATCTACGGTCTGATGTAGAAGGCAGCAGGGTCTAACGACCCTGCTGAGGCTAACGACCCTAACTCCTTAGCATGTCACAGACCTATTGTCTGCTGGGATGCTCAAGTGGAGTGCAGGTCTCACCCCTCCTAACTCATTAGCATGTCACTGACCTTGTCCCAAGTTAGGGCGTTGTTTTTAGGATGTCGTCATAGATGCGAGGCAAAACAAATCTTAACCCTCCTCCTCTGTTAAGAGAAGGTTTTTGTTTCCTCACAAAAATGGCTTCTTTCACCCCTCTCTCAAACCAATTCTTCTCCCGAGCCAGAATTTTAACCTCTGTGTCATCCACCGTGTGGTTGGAGGCCTTGAGGTGGAGATGAACAGCCGACTGTGGCCCACTAGAGTTTTCTCTACGATGTTGGTAAAGTCGTTTCTGTAGAGTTTGTTTGGTTTCTCCAATATAGTGGTCAGTGCACTCCTCTTCACTACATTTAATTGAATACACCACATTGCTCTGAATTCTGGCTCGGGAGAAGAATTGGTTTGAGAGAGGAGTGAAAGAAGCCATTTTTGTGAGGAAACAAAAACCTTCTCTTAACAGAGGAGGAGGGTTAAGATTTGTTTTGCCTCGCATCTATGACGACATCCTAAAAACAACGCCCTAACTTGGGACAAGGTCAGTGACATGCTAATGAGTTAGGAGGGGTGAGACCTGCACTCCACTTGAGCATCCCAGCAGACAATAGGTCTGTGACATGCTAATGAGTTAGGGTCGTTAGCCTCAGCAGGGTCGTTAGACCCTGCTGCCTTCTACATCAGACCGTAGATTGTTTATGAGTTAGTATCAGGATTAGGGTGTGGCTAACCACACCCATAGGTTATAAATCTCCAACGCGCGGTCCGAGAATTCATTCCCTGAAGAAGTCCGCTAGGTTGAGGACGAAACGTCGGGAAAACTTGCTAAGAAGTACAGATGATGGGTGAGAAACCTTCCTTTGCTTTACATTGAAAAGTAAACTCCTCATTAACCGTCTGTGTCACACTCACCATTTTGGATTTTAAACTCTGTGGTTTCAACCACTAATCCTGCTGTTTTTATTCTCACGATTGTCTTTCTAAATCACTTATTTGGTTAGTCAGTTATTATCTGTACCCAAAATTGTCTTTGGCTAGCAAGTAGCGCAAACGGGAAGAGACCAGCACAGCCCCTGATTAGATCCTTAGTTGCTAGTAGGGGTGTGGCGATATATCGATTTTTTGATATATCGCGATACTTTCTCTCGCGATTTGATTATTGATATAAATTTGCCAAGTATCTATCGATTTTGAAAAAAAGAAAAAAATATATTATTTTGTTTTTTTACAAATTTTTTTTTGAATTGGTATC